CAGGACCGAGAGTCTGCTGCTGTGCAGTGCTGTGCAGGGAGAGACCCTCTAATTCCCGTGTTTGAGGTGGGCTGAGGGGCAGAGGAAAGATGTTCTTCTGGGAAAGGATGTGCATCCACCTTTCTCCCAGAAGAAGGGTGTCCCCTGCAGCAGGATGTCCTTGGGCAAGGCCAGGTTTTAATTGCTGCAGCATCACCAGACACCCGAGTCATGGTCCCCCTCAGTGCCTCTGCTCCCACCCTGCATGCTGCAGCTACTGGGGACAGTCCCTGAGCCACCAGCAGCAGTGAATCTGCCCCAAGGTCTCCCCACACACCCTGGCTTTCTCTCCAGAGAGGAGAGTTTGGCTGATCTGAGCTCCTAGGGGAGCTGTCTGTGCCTGCTGGTCCGTCTGTCCTGCCGCATCCCCTCCTGCCAGTGTCTGCACTGCTGTGCTGCACTGTGCCTGTCTGGCTGCCTCCTTGCCCCTCTTCATTCTTGGCTGTGTGTCTCCCTGACTGCCACCTGACACTGCAAAAGCTGCCTGCCCCCCTCTCCATTTGCCTGTCATTATTAGGATTTTTACTCCCCACCCTTTTCTTTGGCCGCCCTCCGGAGGCCTCTGCATTAGGTGTGACTTAGGCACTGCTTTTCCCCAGTTCACAGAGAGCAGCCAGGCTGCAATCTGCAGCAAAAGGACTGTCCAGAGAGAGAGAGCCTCTGCAAGGAGCCTCCTGAAAATGCCTGAGCAGGACATTGGCTGCCAGCACTGCCCAGAAACTGCACACTCACGCCTGCCTGCACAGCACCACAGCCAAGGACTGAGAGGCTGCTGAAATCTCTTGCAGTGGGACTTGGGCAAAAAAAATGCAGAAAGCCAGTCCTTGCAGCTTGAATTCCCTAGTTGCCTGTGGGATAGCTGGGGGTGAGGGTGGGGGTGTGGAGGAGATGTGAGGCTGGATGTAAAGAGGACGGGGGGTGTGTGCATGGTTGCATGTGCTGCCCCACATCACAGCTGTGTTTGGATACAGACCTTGTGCTTGCAGTTTTTCCACTCTGACAACACTGCAACGTGCCTCTTGTGTCTGTCTCCTTGCCTTGCATCCATCTGCTTCCAGTCTTGTTATCTTTCTGTGTCAGTTTGCCAGACCTTTAATCACATCCATAGGCAGCCCCACCAGTCTGGGCCATCCTAGGCCACCATTGTGATGTGTCCCTGTGCTGTCACGGTGACACACAGCGCCCTTGACACCCAGCTGCCACAACAGACAGGGTCAGGCCTTTTCCCTCCTCATGGCAGCACACTGAAACCCTGCTGCACACTCCCAGGGCATCACAGGCCTCCCTGGCCAGCCTGGGGGTCCGTCCCCATCTGGGCCAACCCAGGTGTAGCCAGAGCCAAGCTTTTGTAGAATTAGCAAACCCCCCCTGCACAGCCAGCTTGCAAAACCTCAGCACTCGAGTGTCACCTGGGATCAGGTTCTGCTGGAGCAGAATATGACTTTTCATATCCACTTTCACAGCGTCAGCCCTTAATGCAGAGCCCAGCTGGGGGTGTGGGAGGAGGTGAGGACAGGGCAGCCCATCCTGAGTCCCTCTGTGTCTTCCTGGGATGCCTTGGGACCCAAACTCCCAGGCAGAGCAGCTCCCTCTCTTGTCATCTCCACCCTTCCTCGAGAGCAGGGAAGAGGTCTCTTCCCAGGCTGCTTTCTGGATCCAAAGGCATTTTTGCCTGTGCAGAAGCAGCTCTGTTTGTCTCCTTCCCAACCATGTGCTGACAGGAGCCTGTGGGGAGCAAACCCTTCCTGTGCCTGCACTGCCACCAGCCCCAGACCTCAAAGTGATCGTTTGTGGCCAGTGGCACCACAAACAGAGCTTGTAGATGTGACACTTGGGGACATGGCTTAGTGGTGGCCTTGGCAGTGCTGGGTTAACAGCTGAATTCAATGCCCTTAAAGGTCTTTCCCAGCCTGACTAACTCTGTGATTCAGCTGTGTGTCCTGCTGTTCCCACCACCATTTTGGAGGAGACCTGTGTCACACAGGTCTTTGGTGACTTGGTGCTGACTGGCCTTGCTGGGGACCCGAGCTCGACTCACTTGGTGAGGGGGAATGGCATTGCCCCCCTCCCCAGCAAAGCCCACGCCAAGCTCTTCTTCCCCCTTCCCAACCTTTCCCAGCAAAACACCTCCCACGCTGCCGGGAAGGATGAGGGTTGGCAGCCCTTCTCCAAAAC